AAATCAAACTAGTGATTTCTCTTGGCGTTCAGTTTATACATTCAAACAGCACAGCACTCTATAAACTACTTACGTGTAAATCTGTTATTTGTCCATCCAACCATTTTCATCCGCGTATCCGGAGTCGGGTTGCGGGGGCAGTAGCGTCGAGAGACCCAGACTTCCCTCTCCCCAGCCGCCTGAGCCAGCTCCTCAGGGGGAATCCCAAGGGGTTCCCCGGCCAGGTCCGGTAAGAAGTCCGCTCCGACAGCTTCTGGCGTTTTAAAAAGTATCCCAGGGGCACGGTAAGGGTCAGAGATGTTAAGTCTATTTAATTTCTGACTATATAAAATGATTTCTTCAGTTTTAAAGTGTGAAGTAAACTCCGACGAAGTAAAATCCTAGCCGATCCCGTTCACGTTCATGGTTACGATCCGTGTTTGTTTAGCTTCTTTTACCTGCCAATATGGCGTCTACTAACTGAGAGTCACGTGGGGTCCGGAGCTCTATACAGCCACTTTCACCCATAACCATTTATGTTAGTTAATAAAACTACATACTACAGAGTAGAGCCCTGCACTGAAGCCCTAGGCCCTCGGGTCGGCCCGGCCTGACGGCCCTCGGGCCGGGCTTCGGGCCAACAACTGTGTAATTACCTCGGACACGGGCCGGGCGCCTTTATTTTTAATCGAATTCATAAAAAAATTGAAACACAAACACAGCAGTAGAGCCCTGCGAGGGACTGTTTTCTTCATCCCGCTCCTGCCCACTCCCGCTGAATTTCTGACCATTACCACCTGCAACTGCAACGTTAAACTCCCACCCGCACCCGTAGCGTGCATGTCTACTCCCGCCCGCAACCGCAAAACTCGGAGAAATTATTACCTCACAATAAAAGAGATGTATTGAGTTTGCATCCTCTCTGGTCCTGGAGAAAACATGTCACAACCCGCGGCTCTTCCATCCATCTGATGCGGCTCTCTGTGCTTGTAAAATAATGAATGGATATTTAAATAAAATGCTTTATATTTTACTGAATTAATTTTATTTCTGTAAGTCAATTCTATGTAAAGATCGTCTGCGTAAACCTGAACAGGTCCAACCCAGTCTTATTGTGAGACCGGGTTGACGGGTCACGCTTGTGCGTAATCATATAGGCGCTTCCTGGGTTGAAGAGATTCTGGGATTCTCCTCCTGGATGTGTCGCCACATTGGAGACAGGAACAAGCACTATTCAGCCAAAGTTTCATAATCAGGGAACATTTTCTAAGTGACAAGTCTCTCTGAGCGACAGGGTTTGGAAAACACTTGCTTCAGTGGGAGGAACCTTCCTGGATCTGCGATGCACTCCAAACCCCTCTCCACAACTTCAGCTCGCTGTGCACACATGCGCTGACAGTGAGCTGCGCTGAGCAGCTCAGATGTTCAGATGGGAATCTTTTCTTGGGTGATTTAGCTACATCTGCGATGTGTGTAACGAATAAAATGGCAGTTCGTCTGCATGCGTCGGGATAATTCTTTCTATTCTTTCTCTGTCAAAACAAACCGTCAAATATGGGAACTATCCGGTCAACACAAGCCCTGCTTTTAACTGTTCTGTTTTCTTGTGAAAATTGTTGGAAAGAGATAAAATTTAACTTGATTACCACCAGAGCCAGCGCGCCGTCATCTCCATGACGGTAAACGAGGGAAAAACAAATTGATCGGATCCTGCACGTCTTTTAACACATTGGTCAGGATTGACGCACTTTGTTTTCATTTAGTTGGTTTAAAAAAAAGTCGGGCTCGGGTCGGGCCAGAGAATTCTGAAAACCTTTTCGGGCCGGGTCGGGCTGGGGCTCCACCCCCTCAGGCCGTGCCGAACACGGGCTCAGATTTTAGGCCCGTGCAGGGCTCTACTACAGAGCTGTATTGTGGCAACAGTGAACTTGTAACAGATACACGTGCACAACTTTTTCTTTAAGGTCAGAAACAAAATATGCTATAGCTAAAATCTTTGACATGCTCATGATTCATTCAAGAACAAAGCTGGGCTGTTACACAGCACTTAAATGTAGTTTCTCAAAGAAATGCTTAGATATCTGGGCGGCTGTACAGTATAACCATCCAGAACCACAACATTAACTGAATAACCCTGCAATTTTTTTTAAGTCTGTCATGAACTACTTGTAAATAAAAAATGCACACTGAAAGTATATACCCTAGTCTGAGAACCTCAGTTCTGATACACATTTCTCTGTGCTCACTGTTTCAGGTGAATCACTCTATGCGCCTCAGACAGAAGCCCCTGCAGCCCTGGGTGATCCTAACGTCTACTTGGGAGGTGGAGAGTGCCCATTGTACATGTATGGCCAGTGTTGCAGAGAAATGTGTCCATGTGGCAGCTCTTCTATACAAGATTGACACTGCTGTGCATCTAAGGGGGATATCACACCTACAGATGTTCAGGCCCACTGGATAATGCCCTCGAATGTGAGGACAGTGCAAGGAGTCCCAGGACACAAAATAGAGTACACCACCAGTGCATCCAGAAAACAGACCCTTGACCATTCGCTAAATGAAGGACAAGATGAGTGCTCTGAACCCAAAATCCGGACTCGTACTGGTGGCTGTTCAGTACCACAAAGGACACTGGCGAACTTAGGCTATCTATCCGCTCTTATGCTGTCACATTTAGGAGGGTAGGACCCAAATCGCAGAACCCAGGATGACACGAGGCAGGAGTGGATATGTAAAGTAAAAATCCTTTATTTTGAGGAAGAAAAAATAAATCCAAATGGCAGGGAGCCAAAATCCAAAAATCCAGAGAGTCAAATAATACCAGAGGAACGAGCAGACTGAACGAACAAATAACGCTGACAAACAACAATGGACCGACAAGAACAATGAGACAAGGAGGGCTTATATAGACAGGGAGGAGCAATTAGGGAAACAGGAAGCAGGTGTGTGGAGTGAGGCTGGAGGGAAGGCACGTGACACCAATTATCTGGATGGGGAAGAGAACCAGTGGAGGGCAGATAAACCTAACACTATATAAAACACAAAACTAAACCTAAAGACTAAGGGAAGAACTCACACAAACACATACACATACTGACACACACAAACTCATACACACATACAATGAACTGGGGAACAAGAGGCTGTGGCTACAACTTAAGACACACAACAGAGATGCAGACAAAGGACACATGAGGGTGCTAAGAGAACACAAAAGGGAATCCAGAGAGGGATGGGGAAACATTAGGAGACACATGGGGAAAGACGCAGACAAAGGACACATGAGGGCACCATGAGAACACAAAAGGGAATCCAGAGTGGGAACTGGAGGGGCTGGGGAACAAAGGGACACAGAACATTTCATATGCATGCAGGCAGAGCTGGACTCTCCTCTGTGAAGGAGGGATTCTGCCACTTGTGCGCAGACCCTGTCAAGCCTCGCGTCCTGCCCAAACCCCTTCTACGTCTCCATGATGCACACCTAAGGGGTTGTGAACTTTCTGTCCTTCGGCAGCAGTGCGAGCAACAGAAATGCTATGTCACTGTGTCAGAAGCAGAGGCAGAGGCACTGGAAGAGAAAACCAGCGACCAACATAAATGTGAGCTTTGGCAAACAGCAATAGCGAAGAATCACAGCGTCAAACATTCATGCTGTTATGTCCACCTCCACTGCCACCACGCCTGCATTATCCACAGTGAAGAAGGTGTGCTACCCAAACAAAATGTCACGTCTGCTGTCAGACAATGAGCTGGAGCCAATCAAATGGGGAAAAGTGAATGAGCAAACTGCAAGACTCTACTACACCTCACAGACGACAACACTGCACAGAGGTTCGAAAGTGGACAAGTGTGGTTTCATCATTAACCCCTCCTTCCCTGAACTAGGTGCCACCCCGGATGCCCTCGTGTACTGTGGGTGCTGTGGAAAAGGCTGCGTAGAAATCAAGTGCCCATACACACATCACAACCACAAACTTCTGCAGGCCGGTGAGGATGACACGTTCTGTCTCACCTTAACAGATGGGATAGCGGAGTTAAAACAGACCCACAAGTACTACAAACAAGTTCAAACACAGATATTTGTCACAACGTCTGAGTTCTGTGACTTTGTTGTGTGGACGACCAAAGCCTGTGTGATAATACGTGTGAGGCCAGACGCACGCATGTGGGGTCAGCTACTACAAGTGGCTCAGGAATTCTTCTACAAAGTAGTAATGCCTCAGCTTGTGGCCCATCACTACCCTGACCCTGTACCCAACATGTCCCAAGGACAGCCTGCCATTAATGATAGAGAAGCAATCGGGGAAAATAAGAGAAAAGCCAAAAAGCACTAAAAAGGCGAATCAATCACTGCATATATTATGTAGCTGTAAGCTTTGGATACGTCATGTGCATTATTTTCTGTAGTGTTGAGTACTGTTTTTCTTTATTATAGTTTTACTGAGTGTCCTTTGCACAAGCCTTTGTTTGCAAATTACACAGAGGCACTACTGCGTACATCCTCGGCTATTCATTTTCTTTATCGCTGTGATTTTATGTTCTTTGCACAAACCTTGGTGTACAACTTACAAAGATTACAGGCTATATGTTTGAGGAAGATTTTAGTTACTTTAATTTTTTTCAACTAAAAAACTGTTTTCATTGTATTACTGTAAGTTGTGATAATGCATATTTTAAAATGAGCTCTGTAGAGTACTTTATTTACTTTTAATTTCTTTGCATTAAGATTGATTAATAACTTTTACAGGTGTTATTCTTTGTGGCTACTTTTTTCTCTAGTGTTGTTTCCTTTGCACAAACTGAAACTTGGATGACATTGTTTCAGCGTACATTTTGAATACTTTGATTTCTTTTTCTTCCCCAAAGTTTTGTTATTGCACAAAGTTATGTTTATTGCACGTTTTATTGCAAAAAATGCTGTTTACGTAATATACTCAGGTGTAACTGGCAAGAGTGTTAAAGCATTTGAAAAACCCACAAATAAAACTCCTCTGTTTCACACAACTTATGTTTTTCTTTTTCAAGTGAAATAATTCATGGTTTAGTAGTAAAGCCTTGTAGGAATGAGGCAATTGTTGTATTTCAACTTCCTTTGTTAGCTGCATTACAAGGTGTTAAAAATGTACAAGTTCAGTTCTTTAGACAGCATAGCGAACACTTACTCATCACTTGGTAGCTTCAACACCACACTTGGGCACATATTTGTAAGCGAACATGCGACAGTGACTATCTTGTCAAGCAATGTAATGTCTTCTCCCTCACATGGCACCACTAAACCTAGATGTACAGTGTCATTCAGTATGGCGTACTTGGAGCGCAGCCAGCCGATTACACGCTCTACATGGATCCTGACGTGAGCAATTTTGTGAGTCTCATCCACATCTTGTGCTTGTCGCTGACTACGGCCTCTGGTGAATGCTGGGATTTTTAATGTGGCCCCCATCAGGGCAACGCATTGCTTAATATCAAATCCCCGGTCAGATACCACTATATCACCAGGAGACAGCATTTGCAGAAAGCCTGATGACTCAGCTACGCGTTTGTCACTGTTACGCCCTCCCAATCCTTTGGAGTTGAATGAGATGGCCCCCTGTGGTGTGATGCCAATGAGATATGTCATTGTCTGCCTACTTTTGTAGTTTGAATATGTTTCAGCCTTAGCACGTACATTTTGTACTTTCTCAATGAAAACTTCATAACAGTCTATAATAACTCTGACACAGTCACCAAGCATCTCAACATACTGGTGCGGCATACTGGCCTGGATACATTGGCTTGGTGCCCAGTACACCAAAGGGCTGAGGTGGGCGTAGAGGACATTAACAGTGATGGTAAACACTGCTGACGTGCTTGTCCGGCAAAGCGGAGAGCGCATTTCGATGCTGCGTCAGTGAGGTGAAATCACCACAGCACAGGTGATGAGCTCCGCAGTAGCAGAGCGCTTCAGGCGCAAATAAGACAGAAAATAGAGAACATGTGCGGACATGAACGATCGTGTGCTAATTATAGTTTTTTGGTTGCGCCACTTTGAGAATGAACCGTGCGCTGGACGCAGCTGCCTGGAGCGCTGCGCACCAACGACCATCGCTCTGCTCTCTGTGCTCTCTGCTCAGAAGAGTCCATGAATGATGTAATATATGATGGAGATATGATGTGATATATGATGTAGAAAAGGTTTTTCCTGGCTCCCCTGGATGTGTAGGATATCCAGCTCCCCCATAATTCGATCCCTGCTCCTGGATGAAAAACCAGACATTTTCATCAATACAAGAACACCCCCGGACGCCCGGACAGAGAGTGAAAAGTGGACATGTCCAGGGAAAAGAGAACGTATGGTCACCCTAGTTTAATATAAAGCGGGAGATTGCAGATACAGTATTTTGCTTGTGCCCTTGCTGCCCTGGGCCTGGGCCCTTTAGAGTTCGTGGGCCCCTGGGCAATTGCCCAGTAGCCCAAATAGTTAATCCGGCCTTGACAACAGGCTGTTCGTCTAAACCGGTCAAATCTGGCGGTGGTCATCGCTTTCACCTCGGTATGAACCATGTGGAGGGACGGAGCTCAGTCCGGATCGCATTCCAGCATGCTGTAGGCCGGTTTGCCTGCATACGACACAAATAGCAGCCCGCAAAGCCAATGTAAACAAGGCATTCCAGCAAAACAAATGGGTCAGCAGAGGGCTTATTTGTGACCCGTTTCTACAAATTCGCTATGATAAATCACTTCATTGCAATACATAAACTTACCTTTATGGAAATGTCTACAGCAGACGAACATGTGACCTGGGTGCCCTTGAACATTGAGTTAGGTCTTCTGATAGCAGCAATCCATGCCAGCCGTTGCCTCTTTGTAGCTTCAGATACATCGCTGGAACAACCTCTCTTCCACGCAGGAATCCAAAAAAAAAAACGTGTACCTTTGGCTACTATTTTATTTTATTTTATTTTATTTTTTCCCCGTGTCCTGTCTGGCTGTGAAGCAAACAGAATTGATGTCTGAATGCTGGTGACAAGCCTTACAGATTTTACTCTCAGGTGGAGCATCAAAGCATCTGCTTTTAATGTCACGCCTGATACTTAAAACTTTATTGTTATTGTTTTAGAATGCTTAGTAATTCCGACCAGACACGGAGTCAGAGGTGAAAGAGAAAGGAAAAGACAAAAGGTGTGTGTGTGTGTGTGGGGGGGGGGGTAGATGGCCTACCTGAAAAAATGGAGGAGGATGAATGCCAAGTTGCAATAAATTTTTGGATCTACCAGTGACTCAGACGAGGATCAGCATTTTAATCCTGAAGTTGGCCTGTGTACAACAAACAGCAGCAATCAAAGACGATTTTGGTGATGCAGAGTGTTCCACAGCCACTGAGACTGAAGACATGTGTGACCTGGATGGCCATAGCAGCAGTGAAAGTTGTTTAACAGAAGCAGACTCCTTATCAGTAGAATCCTGTGATTTAAGAAATGATTTAGCTAAGTGGGCTGTTCGCAATAAGGCAACACGAGCATCTGTTGATGAGCTCCTCGTTCTCTTACGAAAACATGGACATTCGCTGCCTATAGATGCAAGGACACTATTACAAACTCCTCGCCAAATCAATGCAAAGGAATTATGTGGTGGCCATTATCTGTATTTTGGTCTTGAACCAGGAATTCTCAAAATGTGTTCACAGTTTCCAGATGAATTCCTTAAAGACGGTTGTGATGATTTCCCTCCTCTTCCCTTTGTACCCAACAAGTTAAATATTGTACAATCTGATAAGAGCCCTGCGATGGACTGGCTCTCTGTCCAGGGTGTACCTCGCCTGATTGCCCGTTGACTGCTGGAGATGGGCACCAACCCCCCCCCCCCCGCGACCCTACGTGGACTAAGCGGGTTCAGAAGATGGATGGATGGATGGACAATCTGATAAGTGATCATGTTAAACATTTTATTTTTGTGTTACTGTACTGCATATTTAAATACGGTTCATGAAAGTTTGGTGGAGCTTTGCTTACTTTGTCTTTCCTGTAGACAAAATTGGATTAGATGAAAGGTACGGACGAAGCCAAAGAAAGTCCCTCTCTGGAAGCCAACAGAAAACTCCCAGCCACTCCTCTCTCGAAGCCGACGACCATTAAGCCCCAGCTGCTCTCGCCCTCAAAGCCGACAACCAAGCCCCAGCCGCACCTGTTTTCGAAGCCGACAACAAAGCCCCAGCCACTCCCGAAGCCGACAATAGTCAACTCCAAGACTCTCCCGCCATCGAAGCCGTCATCCAAGCCCCAACCACTCCCTTTCTTGCAGCAATTATCCAAGCCCCAGCCACTTCCTCTCCCACAGCCAACAACCAAGCCCCAGCCACTCCAGCTCTCGCAGTTCTTCTAACTCCTCCAACTTCCCTTTGTCAGAAGAAAGTAAGTTTAATTTTACAAGTCTTCATTTTAATGATTCTAATGAGGGATGGTCATTCCAAGCTACAATATTATTAGATAACAGGTGTGCTCCTTCCCCTGTTACCTAGAGTTCCAGAAGAAAGTCCTTCAGCTGGTCATTGAAATACGTGATTCTGAAAGAACGGATCTCGGAATGACACATGGCACATCAGTGCAATTCAAGCCCGCAGACACCCAGATGGATGTCAGGGAACTGGAGAGTCGTCTCAAAAATGAGCAAGAGAGAGCAGCCTTTGTAAGCTTAACTGATTCATGTTTTTGCATGCTGACCTAAGTGTTTATGATGTTTTTTTCAAGTACTGTCTTTTTTTTTTCCCCCTGTTTCAGCTTTCACATTTCAAAAGACTGGGGGGCATTGATGCCTTGGACATGGTAAAAAAAAAATCCATGACAGCGTATGTATCTAAATTCATGTGCTTTACATAAAGTACATTTTCGTAATGGCTAAATATTTGTAGCCCTTGCAGAGCTATCAGGTAAGTGTCTAACTAAAATGTTACACTGCCCATTTTTGTTTAGCAGGACACTGACAAATTCAATGATGGCACAAATGAGCCTGAAGGGGAGGTGTGGGAAAGTAGCCTTTTCTGAGTCTTTGCTCTTATAGATCATCTGTGGTAAGTGAATAACCGTTACTGAAAACAGGAGCAGAAGAATAACATTTTGTGATAATTCAAGAAATGCTACACATTACTTAACCGGAAAGGGTGGCTTGCCGACTCCGGGTCAGGAGAGAGGTCAAGTGGAGGAGTTTAAGTATCTCGGGGTCTTGTTCACAAGTGAGGGTAGGAGTGATCGGGAGATCGACAGGAGGATTGGTTCGGCGTCTGCAGTGATGCGGACGCTGAGCCGATCTGTCGTGGTGAAGAGGGAGCTGAGCCAGAAAGCCAGGCTCTCGATTTACCGGTCGATCTACGTCCCAATCCTCACCTATGGTCATGAGCTTTGGGCAATGACCGAAAGAACGAGATCGCGGATACAAGCGGCCGAAATGAGTTTCCTCCGTAGGGTGGCCGGGCTCAGCCTTAGAGATAGGGTGAGGAGCTCGGACATTCTGGAGGGACTCGGAGTAGAACCGCTGCTCCTCCGGATCGAAAGGAGTCAGTTGAGGTGGTTTGGGCATCAGGTCAGGATTCCTCCTGGACGCCTCCCCGGGGAGGTGTTTCGGGCATGTCTTGCTGGCAGGAGGCCTCGGGTCGACCCAGGACACGTTGGAGAGGTTACAATCCAATCTGGTCCGGGAACTCCTTGGGGTCCTGCCAGAGGAACTGGTGGAGGTGGCCGGGGAGAGGACGGTCTGGAGCTCCCTAGTTGAGATGCTGCCCCTGCGACCCGGACCCGGATAAGCGGAGGAAGACGACGACGATGCTACACATTACGTTTCCTCAAGGATTTGGTTCTGATGGGTGATTGGTTACCCTCTTTATATGCCCCATCTATTTTGGGGTGGAGTGAATATCAATTGCTGTTGGAAAGAATTTTCCCATGCTGATGAACAGCAGACATGGTGATGGTCTCTGTTGTTTCCTCTGTAGATGCGGTTGTCACCACAAACCAGATGACCCAGACACAAGTAATAGAGATTGTGTCTAAATATCTGAAATATGCACCAGAGAGAGTGGGTGGTGGTGGCCGGAAAAAAAAAAAAAAAAAAAAAACCTCCCTCTGTCACAACGGGTGTAGCTAACCTCTCCATGAGTTTTCCTGTTTGCAGGTGGGCGCACCCAGAGAGCAGCTGCTGCGAATTCCCTCATCAGCTTGCAGGGGATTTAAGGAGCGGTGTGACAACTCACCAGTGCCGGATGATTACTCGCATTGGGTACTCTCATCATCTGCCTGTTACCAGCTCGTCAACCTGCACACTCACCGTTACAACAAGGCGCCTCCGGATTTCCTGTCCACCCGCCACATCGCTTCTCCCTTTGGCCGTCTGCTCTCCTGCGCTCACCTGCCCGCTCCTGGAACCGGTGCTCAGCTCCCAGCCTCCTCCAACAGCTACCACTCAGGCCTGACACGCCCCCCTCTCAGAGCTCCACTACCTTACTGGAATCCATTAGCCTCCATTCTATCACACCTTCCCCTTCTGCTTCACATTACTCATTCTTGTTCTCTGTCTCAGAACACTGCCTGAACCGCCCTCCTCCGACGTCTCCCCAGCCTCGTCAAACTCAAATAAAGATATATTATTTTTACTCACCTTGTCTCTTCGTGATTCTGCATGTCGTGGGTCAAAAGACTCGATCCCAACATGACCCCCTCCCTTGAGTGACTAGTTCTGTTTTCATTTTTTTTTATTAACTTTTATTTTTTATTTTAACTTTTCAAATTTTTGATAGCTACTTCAATTGACTAACAATTGTTATTCCTTGTTAGTGGTATAAATAAAAAGTTTGTTTTCTTTGACTATTTCTTTATTCGCCTGATGGCATTTATTCTGTTTCAATCA